ACAAAACTAAAGCCGATTGTAATAGTGTAAAGGTGGAAAAGTTTAAGTTTTCTTATGCTAGAGACATTTCATCTTTCAAGATAACTGTCCCTAACGAGCTTTTTGAAGCCATATGCTCGGGCGACTTTTGGCCGGATAATATGGTTGTAAAAGAGTTCGAGGCTAAGATAAAGAAGAAGGGGCCCGTGGGAGTAAAACTTCCTAGTCGAGGCCAAATCAGTGTACCAATTTCAAAAAACTCACTAAATTGTATTCCGATAGGCTTTCCTTTGCATCTCATATTATTGTGTTCACAGAAACCTTGTTAAAGCCGGAGATATTTAGCTCCGAAGTTTTTCCATGTAAGTACACAATATATAGGTATGATCGTCCCTCTAGACGGGGAAGTGGAGTCTTAATTGGAGTTGATTCAAACCTCCCGTCGGAGGAGTTATTTTTTAATGAATTCAATACCATTAAATTTATTTGTGTAAAGTTATCGCTTCATGGTAACTTTATATACATAACTTGCTCATATTTTCCGCCGTTGTCTGAACTTCCTGATTATTTAAATCACCTATCCGTTATTAAGTCCGTTGCAAATAAGCTTTCCGATAGGGATCAGTTGGTAGTTCTAGGTGATTTTAATATACCTGGAGTTACTTGGTCCACTGAGGATAGATCGAATGTCTTACTACCTATAGCACAGCATGATTTTATTGACGGCCTGCTTGACATATCTCTATCTCAAGTAAACCATGTTCGAAATTCAGGTCGCCTATTTTATTTGTGTTTTGTATCAAATCCTGAAGGCGTGTTTCTGTCCAGAGGAGCACCACTCACGCAACCTAAAGATCCATATCACCCAATAATCGAACTTTCATTTCATACGGGTAGATTTATAGAAGAAAAATCAGAAAAATCCAAACGAATACATTGTTTTCGCAAGGCAGACTTTCTGAGGCTAAATAATTTTATTTCTGGCTTTAATTGGTCTGATTTTTACTTATGCAATAATATGTCCGATGCAGTTAATGTTTTTTACACTGCAATAAACACATTTTTTAAATCCTGTGTTCCGTGGTACCATCCGTCAACTTCGAATAAATCACCTTGGTTTAGCAAAGAGTTGACACACTTAAGAAATGTGAAGTCCAGACTTCTTAGGAAATATAAAAATACCGGTTCTCAATCTGTTTTTACTAGATATTTAAGTGCTCGGTCAAGATTTACCGTGCTTAATGCTCAGTGTTATAATAGTTACTTAAACCGTTGTAAGGTCCAGTTCTCTCAGGACCCGAAACAGTTTTATAAATTTGTTAACACCAAGCGTAAATCTAATTCTTTTCCTTCCTCGCTGTCGTTCGAAAACGAATGACGGCAACCGCAGATCAGGCAATAGCCGATTTATTTGCCCAATTTTTTCAAACGACTTACTCTACTTTAGATTATTCATCACAGCCTTATTCTTACACCATGTCCAAGTCAAACCTCATATTCTGTTCCACTTTAACAGAAAGCTCTCTTCTTTTGGATCTTCTTCGTATTAAGCCTGTTTATTCGCCAAAGCCCGATGGTATTCCTGGGTGCGTGCTTAGGTATTGCGCTAAGGCCCTGTGCGAACCTCTTTACAAGTTGATTACCTTATCTCTAGAAACCTCCCAATTCCCAAATATTTGGAAGGAATCATTTGTTATTCCTCTTTTCAAAAAAGGTAACAAGTTAGAAGCCAGTAACTACAGAGGTATTTCTAAGTTGTCAGCTATTCCTAAGCTTTTTGAAAAAATTATTACTCCTCATTTGCAGCTCCTTTGCAGATCAATCATTTCTCCGTGTCAACACGGATTTATTAAACGTAGATCCACAATCACAAACCTTCTAGAGCTCATTACATTTGTGATAAAAGGCTTCAATAGTAGTTTTCAAACAGACGTCATTAACACTGACTTTAGTAAAGCATTTGACTCCGTAAATCACTTACTTCTTATTCAAAAACTTGACCTTTTAGGTTTTCCAGTTGATCTGCTTAAATGGATTTCAAGTTATCTGAATGGTCACAAAGGGTCCTTTTTAAAAATTCAATTTCTGAAATTCTCCGTGTTACTTCCGGTGTCCCACAAGGGAGCCATCTGGGTCCGTTACTTTTTACATTATTTATTAACGATCTTCCATCAATTATAAGTCATTCTCGCGTACTTATGTACGCAGATGATTTTAAGTTGTGCCTGCAGTATAAGGACATTTCCTGCCATTTAGACTTAAAATCCGATCTAGATAATTTTCAAAACTGGTGCCGAGATAATTTACTAAATTTAAACGGTTCCAAGTGCAAGCTGATGACTTTTTATCGGGCCAATCCGATATACGCGACTTACACGTTAAGTGGCAGCTCTTTGGATAGAATAACTCTTGTAAACGATCTTGGCGTTCTCTTGGACCCTAAACTAAAATTTTCTAATCACATTTCGTCCATGGTTAATAAAGCCAGAGGAGTGCTTGGATTTATTAAAAGGTGGTCAAAAGAATTCGATGATCCTTATTTGACTAAAACTTTATTTATTTCGCTAGTCCGTCCGATTCTGGAGTATGGGTCTCCCGCCTGAAGTCCACAATACGGAATACATATTGGTCGTATTGAATCTGTACAAAAAAACATTCTTCTTTTTGCTTTACGGCGCCTAAACTGGGATGCAAGAAGTCTATTAGAATAAGAAGGTAAGATAAGAACCTTCTTATTCTAGTAGACTTCTTTTGATTAATTTACCATCCCTAGCCAACCGTAGAACGATGCTTGGTATTATCTTTATTTATAACCTTATACATGATGATATTGACTGCCCCGACTTGTTAAGTCGGCTAAACTTTTCTGTGCCAAGTAGATTGACAAGAAATTATATTCCCCTAACTTTAAATCATTGTAGATCTAACTATGCCTTGCATGAGCCTTTCGGAGTATTATGTTCTGACTATAATATACTTTTTCCTGTAATGTCAAATCTTGACTTTCTGCCGCTCCTAAAACGATTAATACTTGCTTCATTGGCACAAGATTGATCTAACTATTACTTTTTTCCCCGGACCTTTACCTTTATTTTCCTATCTCGCGTCTATCTTATCGCGAATCGTGCTGTACGATACACGGCTGCGCCCCTCGGTCGGTTGGGCGGGTAAGTGGGCCGTGGGACTCCGCGCGAAAAAAAAAAAATAAAAAAAAATAATACCATTCCAGAGTTTGGTTCATATGTTTGGGACTTGAATAAGAAATATTCACATAAATTTTCAGTTTGATTCGTCAATAACTTTCCAAGCTAGGTTGCCCGGAAGCTGAAAAAAAAGTCGTTTAAACAAGAAAGGAAAGCTAACTTCGGGAGGAGCCGAAGTTAATATATTGCAGAATATTCTGTAAATTATATTCTCCAAAATTATTCATATGATGCATTCTTAATACTATTAATAAATTTCAACTTCCTAACTATAAAAACAAAAAAATTTTGGCATTTCCAATCGTTCAGTTATATGGCAGCTATAGGATATAGTCGGCCGATCCTGGCCGTTCCGACTTATATATTGCGTGCAAAGAAACGAAGGGTGTGTGCGAAGTTTCAATATCTTCGATATCTTTTAAACTGAGTTAAACTAGTTCGCGTAGAAACAGACAGACAGGCGGACATGCTTATATCAAATCAGGACGCGATCCAGATCAAGAATATGTATACTTTATAGGGTCGGAGATAGATGTCTCCTTCACTGCGTTGCACACTGTTGACCAAAATTATAATATCCTCTGCAAGGGTAAAAAAATGAAACCGCTTGGGTCTAACGACCGCGGTTCCGATCATCGGAACTAATTGGAATTTCGTTTTGAAACTTAAGCAAGATATTCTTAAATAGTTGTTCTAACAATTTATGCAATAAAAAATAAATCGATTGTATATTATTAATTATTAGATCAGAGGCAGACATTTTGATGATGTTTTGCGGCCAGCAAGCAAAATTTTAGAGTACGACATCTAAGAATATGTTTCCTCATAATTGGATGGGCAAGCTGTCAATTCAATGTTGTTTTATGTTTATGTTACGAGTGGACCATAGAGTTGTTGCGTTTTGAAAAACCAATGAGATAAAGAAAGTAATTAATTTAATTAAATTTCAAATAAATATTAATTTAAATATTTGGTGGTCTTATTGAAGTCAAATAGAATTCTCAGTTAAGCGTTGCCGAGGTATGCAGACTGACAGAAGCAGCATAAGATCGAACGCAGGACCTTAAGGCCTATTTTAGTTAAATCGAGTTCAGTTTACCGTTGTTGAAATTTGGGAGACCTTAAATATACACACATGAAAACCGACATTCATTTTATTGCTCTGGAAGGGTAAACTATACAAAGCTAGAAATATACTAATCTTAATTATCCACCAACTTCTTGTCCGTTGGTCCTGCGTTCGATTTTATGCGGCTTCTGTTAGTCTGCATACCTCGGCAACGCTTAACTGAGAATTCTATTTGACTTCAATAAAAACAAGTGAATATCTGGATTGACATTTCAAAGAAAATTAGACCACTAAAAATGTGTCCATTTCTGAATTGGGAAGTCCAACTGCAACAAAAAACCAAACTATCATCTCTGTAATACATTGTCGATTTATCGTTTATTGTGTTATTGGTCCGAAAACAGCTATCATAATAAATATATATTTATACATTATAATAAATTATAACTTGTTTTAGCAAAAGTCTGTTTTTATAAACGTCTTGATCTCGGAAACTATAAGAGGTAGAGAGGTAGGAATTGCTAATCAGTGTGAATAAATAATTTTGTTCCCAAAAATTTGGTGTTGAAAATTGAGAGAGAGCAGATAAAGTTTTTATATTACGCCTATGTTCAAGCAATACATTCTGTAATATTTTATTAATTAGGCGGTATCACATAGTTGGAAAAACCACCACACCGTTACTTAAATTTTAAAGAAATAATAATTATACGCTGATAACGTTTAACATACTTCCAAATATATTTCAGTTGACTATGAATGATTTCAGCGTACATAGAATAATTGGGCGTGGCGGTTTTGGAGAAGTATATGGATGCCGAAAAGCAGATACTGGAAAAATGTATGCTATGAAATGTTTAGACAAAAAACGGATTAAAATGAAACAAGGAGAAATGCTCGCATTAAATGAACGAAACATGCTGCAAGCAGTCAGCACTGGAGTAAGATTATTTTTAAATAGTGTATTGGTTTTTTATAATTGTATTCTCTTAGATTGATTGTCCGTTCATAGTTTGCATGACATATGCATTTCATACGCCAGATAAACTCTGTTTTATATTAGACTTAATGAATGGCGGTGACCTGCATTACCATTTATCTCAACATGGTATTTTTAGTGAAGACGAAATGAAATTTTATGCAGCGGAGGTAAGCAATACTAACAAATATTTTATTTTAATCTAAAGAATTTAAATTTTTAGGTGATTTTGGGGTTAGAACACATGCATAAACGTTGCATTGTGTACCGTGACTTAAAACCCGCCAACATATTGCTCGACGAAAATGGTCACATACGAATTTCTGACTTGGGATTGGCTTGCGACTTTTCAAGAAAGAAGCCACATGCTTCAGTTGGAACTCACGGATATATGGCTCCAGAAGTATTATCTAAAGGAACGTCGTACGATTCTTGCGCTGATTGGTTTAGTTTCGGCTGCATGTTGTATAAGTTGCTTAAAGGTCATTCTCCATTTCGGCAACATAAAACAAAGGATAAGCATGAAATTGACAAAATGACATTAACTATGGTACGTTTTTAGCTTTTTCTAACTTAAATAAAAATATATTAAAAATATATTATCCTTCACTGCTTTACAAACTATAACTGAAATTATAAGACCCTAAGTCTAAAATGGAAAATAAAAGTTATTTGACAATTTTGTTTAATAAAAATTGAATGATTAATTTTATTTAAGCAATATTTAAGACTAATATAGATTTTTTTCATAAAAATCTTTTGGAATGTGTACTAAACGTATTTCAGTTTAATAATCAATTAGAAACATTTGTCGTGAAAGAGTATCCATTTCACTCAAAACTTTTTGCAGTGCATAATTATAATACATACGGTCAAAAGTTTGCAATAAAGTTAAAAACTCATTTTTGATCCTACAAAGTATATATATTCTTGGTTCTTACGCTCCCGCTTTTTCGTTTCTTCTGCCTTCCGACTAAATCAAAATTGTAAAGCTTTTTTCCGCTTTGCGGTATTTATAACTACTCAACGTACAATTTTAAAATTCAATTTGGTACAGAATACCTAAAAATAAATCAAATGTTTTGGCAAAACATTATTTATTGACGGAAATTACTTAATCGCCTACTTGACTTGAGTTTCGTATAAAATCCTGAAGGTTTGGTTCTGTCGAGGGTGTTCTGTGCGATGTGAGATGATGGGGATGATCTGTAGATTCTGGGCTTTGAAAAAGAGTTATTAGCACTGGCGAATGGTCAGATGAAAGGTCCGAAAGCGCTTTGGCGCTTATTATATTGCGTGAAAGGTTTTTGGTCACCGCAAAATCTATTAAGTCTGGCACCTTTCTGGGATGTGCTGGCCAGTATGTGGGGGTACCTGGGGAAACATATTCCAATTTGTTGCTCAGTCGTGATCCCCAGTAGGTATGGTTGGCATTATAATCTCCTGCTGCTTTAAAGCGATCTCCAAGTAAGTTGTAAAAATCCATGAATTGTCCTTTAGAAACTGTAAAGCGAAGCGGGCAGTAGACAACGGGCCGTTACCTGACTGCACTATGATAGACGTGGCCTGAAAGTAATTAGTTGCAAACCTTTGGTGAATGGTGTTTGATGCGTTCCCTGATTAGGATGCCGGTTCCGTCGTGGGCTTTACTGTCTGGATGATATGTGCGGTGTAAGGTGTAGCCTCTTATTTGGAAATTGTATTTGTTTGTGAGGTGCGTCTCCATCAGGCAGCTTAATGTCGATATGATTTTTATTCAGGAACTGTGTTATTTCAAATTTGTGCCGGGAAACGCCATTGGCGTTCCACATGGTTATTCGTTGATATGCCATCAATTATTTGGACTGCTTGGCTGCAAGCAACTGTAACACCAAGGTCGCATGGTCGTTTTTATGAAGGACATAAATTCCATCATACTTTGCTGCATAGCTTCCAGTGGGCATTGTGACTGTCCTGACCCTTGCTGAACGTTTTCTAGATGATACTGTAGTTTGCCGTGTGATTTCCTCCGCAGTTTACCCATTTCTTCTTTTAGGGGTCTTTCTTGTTGGCAGGGCAATTAACGGAATTATGAAATTCTCCACAAACTGCACAGTCTGATCGAAGCGTGCAGTATGTCCTGTTGTGTCCATACTCCTGACAGTTTGTACATTGCACCGGACCGTTCCTTTTATGTGGTTCTTGCGCCTTAATTCTTCGGTGCAATAGGTATTGCAGGTTATAGATGGGGTGCACTTAATTTTTCTTCAATACTCTGCTGTCTGGCTCCAGCTGTACTTTGAAGAGTGGTTGGGGATTTTTGTTACTGTTAATGATGTTACTAACATTCTTTGGAAAAAAACATTTTCTTTGAGGGCATCGATAACTTTATGGGGGTTATGTCGGGCTCGATTCCATGAGTACAACTTGGAAATCCTTGCTGCTTTTTAGTTGGTACGTGTAGTACTTTTTCTCAACTTCCTCCAGGTATTTAGACACAAATGTTCTTCGGATTTGGTCTGAAGTTTGGTTTCGTGAATATTCCCTTTAGTGATCGGAACAACATGAAAATTTCCGTCCCCGACCAGCGGAACAATTTTGTTGACCAGGGCGTTCGAGCTTTTCTCCCTAATGTAAATTGGTGGGGGCTTTGGTTTCGGTTGGGTCTCTTTACCCAGTTCTAGTTGAGTTTCAGTTAGAAGGGCAAATCTGTTGTTATTGGATCTTCCGGGTAATTCGTTGTCTCTTTGGACACGGTTTATTTTTGGCTTATTACCCACCTCGGTGTTTTCGGGCTAAGCTTACGCTTAATTTGGCGCTGCAGTCGACGACATCGCAGTGGTAAGATCCGTTGCTGTAGAAGTTGTTGGTTTTGCTGCCGGTGCTGTAGTTGTTGTTGTTACTTTTGGTACGATTGCAGAAGTTTTACCGTGCATGTTGATGATGTGCCAAGGGTCGATTCTGATGGTGGGGCGGTTTTCCATTAAGAACTCCACGCAGTTGGAGTGGGAGTAACAGTGAGTAAAGAGGGTGACAACGATCGTGATCTTTGGGTATCGACTGACAGTAGAGCAAGGTGTGTCTTTATATACGTTTTTTGCACTTCGCTATTGTGCGTATAGATATACGAGAAGTACCCGTCTCTTCGGCACACCGAGCTTATGCGCTCTTTATTTGGTTCGTCGGTCATTAAACTTTTAGCGTGGCACTATTATAAAACAATTTGCCCTTGATATAATAATATCACTGATTTGTGTTTTTTTTATTTATTTATTTTTGTTTTAGCGTCTTTTTGCCTATTTTGTAATACACCAATTTAGTTTTTTAAATTTGATTTGTTTTTAATACATTCACTTTCAACTCTTCCCGGAGATCGCGCAAAGCACGTCCGCTCTCTTTGGAGTTAAGTATAAATGAGTTGCTAAGATCAGCATTTAATAAAAATTCGGTATCCAACCAAAGCGCAGCAGAGTGTGTGCCAACAAGGACTTAATAATTTGTGGATCCACCCAATCCTCATATACCTTATCAAACCTTTTGCAGTTCACTTCATTTGTGCTCCAAAGTACATCTCAAAAAGACGTCATTTTACTGGCTTTAGTAAAGCACTTGACTATGTAAATCAATTAATTGTTGTTCGGAAACTCGATTTTGTAGATCTGCTTAGATGGATCTTAAGTTATTTGAGTGGCAGGACACTAATTGTACTTTTTAAAATTCTCATTCTAAATCTAAATATAAATCCAATTTAGACAACTTTAAAAACTGGTGCCGGGGTAATTTACTAAATTTGCACGCTGATGACTTTTTATCGGGTCAACCCAAAATAGCCGAATTACATGTTAAATTTCAGCCCTTTGGATAGGAAGTTTTTAATGTTTTCTAACTTTATTTATTTCTTCTCTTGTTGTAGTAGACCACTGTTGTTTAATTTACCCTTCCTAGCCAACCGTAGAATGATGCTTGGTACTGTCTTTATTTATAACCTTATTCATGGTGAGATTCACAGCTCCGACTTAGTAATTTGGGTAAACTTTTCTGAGCCAAGTAGATAAATTAGAAATTATATTCCCCAAATATAAAATCATTGTATATTTAACTATGCCTTGCATGAGCCTTTCAGGCACCCAGAACGTCAGTCAGACACAAAAACATTTGGAGTCCGAAACAAACCCTTGGCCATTTGGGATTTACCAAAATTTTGCTAAAAACTGTGGACCTCAACCATTGCTACATCAACTTATCTAGTCATGGTGAGCAAGAATATATACCATATAAATATATGTTATACATTATAAGGTCGAAAATGTCCCCTTCACTGCATTACAAACTTCTGACCAATTTTAAATACCAAGGGTAACAAAAATTAATCTGTTTCCTTTGGCAGGTATAGGATAGAGTCGTCCGATAAGCAAGATCTTTAAAAATTATCATTTTTAGATATAAAATTTACGATTTGGACAGTTTCATTGTGTGAAAAAAAAATAAATATATATTACAGCTGTAGAATATAGTACACAGATTTTTATTACTCTTGGAGTAATACCAAAAAGCGTGTACTGCGCGAATTTATACTGTCACAGTCGTAAGTTAAGATGCTAAGTTATATAAATTAACATGCTATCACTTATCGGGTTTGATTAATTCATTTTATTGCACTTCTTGCTGCTTACACTTTTTAGAATTAAATTTTTGTTTAACCCCACATTTCTAACTATGAAAACGGAAAAAAAAAGATATCTATTGCGGTTACCTTAATTTAAACTCCCTTGTTTCAAATTTGTCTCCTCTTCTACAGACCACCAAATTTCATCAATTAAGATTAGTTTTCATGTTTAGATATTTGACTCCTTTAACAGCTGTAAACGGCGGCTTACATACGCTTACTCGTAGAGTAACGAGTATATTATATTACTTAGAATGTTCGTAACAGGTAGATGGAAGCGTTTCCGATCCTATAACGTATGTATTCTTGATCAGGAGCAATAATCGGGTCGATTATCTGTTTTCTTACGCCACGCAACTTTTGCCACGCCCACTCTAACGAAAAAGAAAAAAACTTAAGCAGACAGTAACTGTTGTTTAGACTGACACCGCTGTTAGTGCACCTTTTTGCTTGGGCGGCACCAAACTTGGTTAAGAGTATATTGTATTCGTGCAAAAGTATGTAACAGGTATTCTTGTTCAGGATCACTAGCCGAGTCGATCTAGCCATGTCCTTCTGTCCGTCTGTCTATCCGTATGAACGCTGAGATCTCGGAAACTATAAAAGCTAGAAGATTGGCATTTTGCATGTAGATTTTAGGAGTTCCTACGCAGCGCAAGTTTGTTTCAAAATGGTGCCACGCCCCCTCTGACGCCCACAAGCCACAAGCTGTGGCCACAGTATTGATGATATTATGAAAATTTAAATTGATATTTATTTGTTTCGTCAATAAATATCGATTGGCCTAATAAAAGTTTGCCATGCCCACTCTAACGCCCAAAAACCCATTAATCGCTTAAGCCTGGCTAGCGCCTACATTTTCTCCTTTCATGGCGCCATCTAACGGATGACTTTGGAACAGCTGG